CTATTAGACTAACATTATCAGTGACCCCGACCTGGGGTCACAAATTAAAAAAAATAAAAAAACAAAAAAAAAAAATAAAAGAAGGTCGTGACCCAGGTCACATTGTGACCTTAATGTGACCTTGGGTCGCGACCTATTAATGGGACATTTGTCCCATTTTGATGGATAAGTGTATTTTTTTTTATTTAAAAAAAATAAAAAATATATTAAAATTTATATTTTTTCATTCTCTACAAATAGAGACCACACTTGATATATTTTGGAATAAAATTATAATTTATAAATAAAATAAATATTTAGGTTGAGTTGGGTTGGGGATAAAGATAAATTGGATTATAAGGTTGAGTTGTGTAGGTGGAGGAGAGAGAAATAATTTTTAATTATTAGGTTGGGTTGGTTTAGGTTGCTGATAAAGATAGTCTTAAAGAATTACATGTGGATATATATATTGAACAACAGTTTAGCAGGTTCTTTTATATGAATTATATTGATCGAGTTCCCAGAAGACGGTTCACATTCAAAAACCAACTCAGAGAAGCCACTTAGACAAACACGTTAATTGCTGACAAGATAAATACCAGTCGGAGTACCAGTCAATTTGTTAGTCAACACATTTATTTATTATTGGGCCCTGCGCGGTCATATTTATTTATTATTGGGCCCTGCGCGGTCATATTTATTTATTATTAGGCCCTGCGCGGTCATATTTATTTATTATTAGGCCCTGCGCGGTCATATTTATTTATTATTGGGCTCTGCGCGGTCATGTTTTATCGTAAAAGCCCATTAGACATACCGACCGGTATTAGTCCAAATATAAATAGGGGCTAAAGAGATAGAGATCATGATTTTTTATTCTTGCCCTTATCAACAAACAAAGGGACGGCCCTAGAGGGTTCTGAAGATTCATGATCATAATTCCATCATCATTCTTTTCACACAAAAAAAGTTCTTGGGTTTCTTTCTTTGATTTCTTTCATTCAAGATATACAAATAATTACTGCAAATTCATATGTTTCTTATACCCCTCATTTACAGATTAGGGGTGTACATTTTATGTTGTTACAAAATCGTTTAACAACAATTGTTATTGCGTGATGTAACTAATGTTCATCATCTTATCGGCGTAAAGGTGAAAATAATTTTATATCAAATTTAATTATCCGGCAACGCTCACAACTAAGAAATTACATATTACACGATCATGCCAATTGGTCATATACATCACTATCTTGCAATGATGTAGCATCCAAAATAGCTTGAGGAACCGACCTGAGGGGTTAGCTCAATTATAGCAGGATGATAAGAAAGCTTAGTTCTTTCTCGACATACGACCTTGTTAAAGAGCTCGCTTAGAGAGCTCGAACGTCAGAGAACTTCAGGAGTTCAAATACTCGAAAGCACCTCATGAACTCTAGATCGTAAACGATTTAAGGACCTGAGAGTTGTGTGGTAAGAGGGAACAAAATCGTTTATAGATTGAGATTAAATCTTGTTAAAGAGTATTAGATCCTAGAAACGTCCGAGGTCAGAAAAGTGAATGTGGGAGAGTCTTTTTCCTAACTATGACTCTCTTGGGCATCAAGACACCTTATTATATAAGGGTAACCAAGTTCTTATTTTATGTATTTCGCATATGAACATACGCATATATTGTTGATTTGAGCGTAGGAGCTTTTTCGTTACGACCCTAACAGGTGTATTGTATGTCATTGGAGCTTGAGATCGATATCCATTCGTGGTGCTCTGGTTCAACCCGGTTCAAGATGATCAATTTGCACATCAACTTAGCGTCGTTTGTGGGAAGAAACTTAGTCTTTTACTGACTACAAGGGACTAAATCTGTTTTATCATAAGAAGTTTTTCAAAAATTTGAAGATAAGACTGTGGCGAACGACAACTCCAAGAAAAATCTAGCTAAAGAGATGGACGAAGCTTGGGCGTCAAGACGATGGGGACAGGTCCCCCGTCGGGATGGTGGGACTCGGCTGGAGCACTTGTCACGCCTCATGAAACATTACGAGCTTCTCATACGACGTTAATCTCGTGTCAAGGACCTCCGAGAAGGCATGAGCCATAGGTCGTCCAACAAGGAACAAAGATTTAGGAGGTATAAGGTCAGGTAGCAGCTCAAGTCACCGAGGTTCAGTAACAAGGTGATCCAAGGGTCAATCGACATCAGGAGTAGATGAATGGACAATTACAGAACCCCAGGGGATAGGAGGCCCATAGGGACGACCAGGTTTTCCAGCTAAAGCGCACAAAGTTGGACAGAACTATGGTTGAGACAGTGACTTGAGTTTTGATTCTCAAGATAAGAAATACATAGACAACTTAATTGACATCTTTGTATTATAAAATTATTATTTTTTAAGACAAAAAGTTATTCAACTTAATTGATAATTTAACTTATAATATGTCAACTAAGCCTAAGTCAAATTTTATTATTATTATTATTATTATTATTATTTTCAAAATGACCGATCCAATCCTAATCGTCCAAATAGGCCCTGCCTGGCCCACCAGATCATGTACCCGACACATACCTAGATAAGGG